CCCGCCCCTCCCCCACAATCTATTTCACATAATTTCACTGTTTATTTCCCTTCAAGAACCAAGTGCAAAAAAAAACTGAACCCATGTATAAATGAGATTTCTTTTGTTACATACTATAACATTTTCTTTAACTTTTCCTTTTTTACAGCTAATTTTTAAGGAAGTATGATTATGACAACCAAGGAAATACACAGTTAATTGGACTGGGGCTGTGATCACAGTGTTAAACTTGTTTAAATAAGCTCTTTCTCTCCTGTGTGTAACTTTTAAATTTTTTGTAATTCCATACAGAACTGCTAGTTACAGAAGTGGTTTTACAGAGTTTTCCACCTTTGCCATCTTGTGAGATTTTGGATATCAATGATGAGCAGACTCTCCCCAGGCTGATAGAAGCATTAGAGAAACGCCATCAGCTACGACAAATGATGATTGATGAGTTTAACAAACAATGTAAGGCCAAAAACTGGGATCATTTTAACTCCAGAAATTTGCAATGAATCTGAGTTCTATGGTGGAACAAAAAGGGTTATTTTTGTCTCTGCACTTTGTAGTGCTCAAGGCATTGTTTAATTAGACTAACAAGGAACTTTTCCCTTAGCTCTTTTTTATATTCCAAGAAAATATAAGCAAAAGAAAAAAGTTGGTTTGTATTCTCTCCCTTTTTTAAAATTAATAGAGATGGATGCAAAGGAATAATAGCTGATTTGTTTGTAGTTCCTGCTAGTTACTTATTTGCAAGGCACTTGACATAATTACATCTTACTAACTGTATCTTTGGACAAATTACTCAATCCCCTATTAGTTTCCAAGTCTGCAAAATGGGATTTCAACTTGAATCTAACTTTTGCTAAAATAAATCTAGTATTATTTCTGTTTTTGCATTTGTTGTTCTGAAGCATATTATTGACCCATAAGGGTTGGTAAGGGGATGCCATAGTGCAAAATGACTTAGTATTTTTCAGGAATAAACAGAAAGCTTCTATGAATGTGTCTTTTGTAGACTTGACAAACTCTTGATTTTCTTCCTTGTTTTCTGATTATAGACTAATTCTCCAAGAGAGATAGCTATATTTCGTATATAGTATCAGCTAATAAAAGTAGATTTCATTGGTTATTTTGGAATTGGAGTAAACAAAAACCTGCATGTTTTTGTTTCAGCTATTACTTTTAAAGCTATGTTGCAAGAATTTGACAATGGTGTTTTAAATAAAGAAAACTACATTCAAGGAAAACTAAATGAAAAAGAAAAGGTGATCTCAGGACAGAAATTGGAACTAGAACGACTGGAGAAGAAAAACAAAACTTTAGAATATAAGGTTGGTTTGGGCATTATTATAAGGAATGTGCTGGCTGTTTACCACTGGTCTGTCTGACTGAGCCGTTCTGCTATATACAGGTAACCGCTGTTTACTGGGAGTTATCATGTAGCCAATTATTAGTATTCATCGCACTCAAAAATGAGGAAATGTGAATGAAAAACATAAAAGCGATGTTATACTCTTTAACTTTGAGTTAAATGTTAGCAGTTGAAGAGAATATTTCCTGGCCTAAACAAGTGAGCTCTCTAGAGGGCTCTCTAGAGTTCAGCTTTGGTGGTAGCTTGGTTTTTCACTTTTTACTGGGTGATATATGTTTGTTTCCTCATTTACGAAGGATCATTTAGGGAGTACACACTCATTCTAGAGAGAAGCTAGCCTCAACCAATAAAGTGAGTGTTCTGTATTCCAAAAAGCTTTAAAAATAAAATTTTAGGCCTGAATTTTAGAGTAATTTTTCACCCGAAGTCAATTATAACTTAGTCTTTTCAGTGAGGAACTTGTTTAAAAGTTCTCATTTCTAGGAATGGAAGTACGAATTCAGATGAAATGTTAGAGGAAATTTTTCTTTACACAGCTATGCTTATATAAACAAATTATGGAAGGGATTATTTTAGAGCTACATGAAATATTTACATACCAAATATTGAACATAATGGTCTGCCTTCCAGATTGAAATTTTAGAGAAAACAACTACTATCTATGAAGAAGATAAGCGCACTCTGCAACAGGAACTTGAAACCCAGAATCAGAAACTTCAGCGACAATTTTCTGACAAACGCCGACTCGAAGCCAGGCTGCAAGGCATGGTGACAGAAACAACAATGAAGTGGGAGAAAGAATGCGTGAGTGTTGCTCCTATAGTGCTTATTGCAGAGACCAGTGGTTTATTTCAAGCGTACTGCTGAATTATGGTACTTGAAGTAGGGTTTGGAGGTGGTGGCAATACTAGTAGCCTAGTCAGTTCATTCTGTTGCCTTTCTCTGCCCTGAAAATTCCGACAAATTAATTAGCATTATGAAGCCTACTTAACTCAGGAAGAACTGGAGAACTGTTATTTTTAGGAAATGAAGAGTTTCAGTAATTTGGTGTACTTGTTTGGTATAACTGAAGTAGAATACATACTGCCATTGATAATCTGTAGGAGCGTCGAGTGGCAGCTAAACAGCTGGAAATGCAAAATAAACTCTGGGTGAAAGATGAAAAACTGAAACAACTGAAGGCTATTGTTACTGAACCCAAAACTGAAAAGCCAGAGAGACCGTCTCGGGACCGTGATCGAGAAAAAGCTCCTCAAAGAGCTGTTTCTCCACCACCAGTACCTGTAAGTTATTTGTCATTGTGTAGTAATTTAGGACTAGAGAAAATTTGTTCAGATTAGGGACTATTTCTATGAAAATCAACTTTTTGTTTTATATTTCTCAAACTTCTATTTATAATTTTTTTAAATTTAGCATAAACACATTTAGTACAAATTTAGTATAAAAATCTAGTGATTTAGTACAAATAATGATAATGTTATCTTATGTATTAAAATTATAGAAAAGTAATGAATTGTTTCTCTTATTTTTTCAGTCTTGCTCATTAATTTCTCTTCAATTTTTTTAGCTTCCTAGTAACTATATTGCTCAGATTTCCAACGGCCAGCAACTCATGAGCCAGCCACAGCTACATAGGCGCTCTAACTCTTGCAGCAGCATTTCTGTAGCTTCCTGTATTTCGGAATGGGAACAGAAAATTCCTCCATACAACACACCTGTCAATGTCACATCCATTGCAAGGCGTAGGCAGCAGGAACCAGGACAGAGTAAAACTTGTATCGTGTCAGACAGAAGGCGAGGGATGTACTGGACTGAAGGCAGGGAGGTGGTTCCTACATTCAAAAATGAGATAGAAATAGAAGAGGATCATTGCTGCAGGGTTAGTGCCAGTATTCTTTTAAAGTATTATAGCAATAGATTTTAATCTTGTGTTTTTGTAACTTGGTTCAAAAAGTTCAAAACAAACATGGGTGAGCTCCAATATAAACAAGGTCTAATTTTTATGTTATTAATTTGAAAGATCAAATCACCCCAAAACTGAGGCTTAGCTCTTCAGCTGAAAAAGCCCAAACACATTTGGCAACAGAAATAAAGCCTCGTGTTCAGTGAACACAGGTCAGTGTGGCACACACCAGAGTAATCTGCTTTTCAGTTGCATAAGCTAATGAGCATGTGAATATGAGTGTCTTAGAGCACGTTTTCCAATTTTTTCTTTTGGTTTTTCTCCTCCAAATTAGATTTTTTTTGTTGCATTTGAACCTTTGAAAACTGTTTTCCCAAACTTCTGTTTTGAAAAATTTCAAACCCAAAGAAAAGTTGAAAGAATGGTACAGTATCAGCTTTTTCCCCTTACCTAGATTTACCAGTTGTTAACTTGATATAGATATGTAAACATTTTTTCCTTGAACCTTTGAAAGTAAGTCAGACTTCATGGCACTTCATCCCTAAGAATAAGGACATTAGCCTATATAACCACAATCTTTATCACACCTACGAAAGTTAACATTAATTCTGAAGAAGTATCCTCTAATATATATAGTTCGTGTTTACATTTCCCCAGTTGTCCCAATAATGTATTTTTTCAATCCATGATGCTATCAAGGTGAATGCATTGGGTGTGGTTATTTTGTTTCTTTAATCTCTTTTAATATAAGACAGTCTCCCCTCTTTTTGGTTTTCATGATACTGTTTTTTGAAGAATCTAGGTCAATTGTTTTGTAACTACTGAGGATTTGCATGCCCAATTGCTTTTAATTTCAAGACCTTTATTTCAATTTACAAGGGCTCTGCCTCATTCAAGGGTGTTTAAACAAATTCACATTTATATTTTCTTCTTAAGGATTAAGGTAAAGTTTCCCCTTGAATCTGAATAAATGAACCAAGTTACTATTGTGAACTTAACATTTAGTAAAACCTTAATATAGCTCTTAGAACTTTTCTTCTAAACAAATTAATCTTATGGTAAATATTTGCTTTAGATTTTCTTGTATAATTTAGGGTAAAGAAAAATTTCAAGTGGTCTGCATTCCTGATTATTAAGGAATGGTGATGAATTCCAAGGTATTTACAAAGGCAACAAAGATTTTAAAATCTCTTAAGTTCTTTACTTTCCAGATATCACTTTAAACCTTTTTAGGGAGCAAACTATGGTGACTGGTCTTTCTGATCAACTCTAATAAATCTCTTATTTCATGAAAGCTTATAGACAAAACTATTCAAGGCCTGCCTTCAACATTAATGTAATACCTAATTTGGCTATGAGATTTAAGAAGATTTATTAGAGACCTTCTCGCTTGAAATCAAAATCTCTTAGAAGTGCAGCAGAAAAGTTTAGGCTAGTTCTATGCATCTAGGTTTGTTGGTCAAAATTTATGTCACGTGGACTGAAATTATACTTCAGTGAGGAAGAAATTTTAAGTGTCATTTATTTTATAAATGATAGTATAATAGATTGTAAGGTCTATCTTTCTAAGCTCATTTCAGAATCTATTGATAAATGTGTTCAAGAAAACTATCACATTTGCCAAATGGTAGATCATGACAGCCAGACTTTTCTTGTTCAACATTAATTAAGTTATTTTAAGAATGGAAAGTTTCCTGCTTGCTGTGAACCTTGGGCATCTCTAGGGGCAAACTATATTGCCCATGTTTTACACTGTCATGATTTGTCACTGGTGCTTCATTTGTTCCTAATAATTATATAGGGAAAATGCTTTAGATCTCCAGCTATGCATTTTGAAATTGGGATCTTCATACTTGACCAGCTTTAAAGGATTTGGCCTGTGACAGACTGTTTCATACAAACAAAGATGTTTGAAAAATTCCAAAGATTTTGGGATTGCTTCAAACTTAACTATGCCTTGTATGTGAAATCTTTTTTATTAGGTTAAATATGCTAAATTTAACTTTCTCAAATTTACATGACATTTGACTGGAAGCAACTAGTTTTTTATTGTATGATAGACTGCTTCTACGCTATATTCTTTATCTGGTTCTTGGAACCTTTACATACTATATTCTTTATCTGATTCTTGGAACCTTTATGAAATGTTTGGTGAAAAAAATAGTTGGTAAACCCATTGTTGTGTTTGAATTTTCCATGAAGTTCTGTTTAGAGATTTTTAAATTTCAGAAAGTACTCAGAATTACTTTATTTACATTCTTTAATCATTTTATACAGAGTTCTTATTATACCTTACGTTCTTAGCATTTTGTACTATCCAGCCTCTTCAGCTTTTATTTTTATTTTGTCTTTGCGTAAAGTGTTTTCTCTTTTGTTTGAGGCCTATGACATGTTTAGGCTTTTACTGATCTTATTGAAGCTTTTAACATGGTTGTGAACCTAATAGATTACCTCACAACAGCAGGCACAAATATTGGTTTGGGATCAAGAATGCAAAATGAATAATTTGTCTTAAATAACACCTCCATAGGAAAGACTAGCAGCATTGCTAGAATTTTTCCTTCTATTTTTTGTTGAAAGGGAAGCTCCCTGGTAAAATATATAATATACAGCTGGTGTTAAAAGATGTTTGTCAGTTTTGTGTTTAAATACAAAGAGAACATTTAAATTACTTGAACAACATATTTAGCTTTTGAAAAGGTTCGTGTGTTTGTTTTGATACTGGCACCAACTAATGTAGCCAAACCTGCTGCACTTCTATTAATACCCTTAAATTAATTCTGGGTTATGCTTGTTTCTTGATTCCTTTCAACCTGATCAGAATGTACCACCACTTCGTCTCCGACACAGACGATCACGCTCTGCAGGAGACAGATGGGTAGATCATAAGCCTGCCTCTAACGTGCAAACTGAAACAGTCATGCAGCCACATGTCCCTCATGCCATCACAGTATCTGTTGCAAATGAAAAGGCACTAGCTAAGTGTGAGAAGTACATGCTGACCCACCAGGAACTAGCCTCCGATGGGGAGATTGAAACTAAACTAATTAAGGTAAAAACAAATTTACACAGGAGAAAAAAACTATACAAAAAGCTTAACAAAACACCACTTACTTGTGTATTTCTTTGATGATACACAGGCAGTGTCAACTGGAACATCTATGGGTATTGGATATAGCCTCTTTGTTAGAAAACTAAAGTAACTGCTTAGGTTGTGAATCTGTTAAACTGGGACTAAATTTGCTTTCTACTGAATGATGCTGAGATTCTCAGGTTTGTTAGAGAAACTCCAGATCTATTATGTACTTTAAATTAATGTATATTTAATTTTAGCCCCTGCTTGAAAAAAAGTAAACCTAAAGAAAGAACTATCTTTGCTTTCTGTTAGTTCAAGATAAAAGCCTGCATTAAAATTTGACCTATCAAAATTACTTAGTATTGAGCTACCCAAAGTCCTTTTCCTCCTATCTGTAGAAGAGTTTTCTCCTGATCAGAGTCAATGAATAATCAGGGAAATAAAAGACAAGACTGGGGGCGGAGGAAAGTTTTTCATTTCAAATTCAATTTAGAGGATGTTTCTTATAACTATGGTTTCAATTAAGACTGTACTGTCATTTGAATATGAGCGGTGGCACACCCAGAAAGGAAAGTAGAATGCCTTAGAACATTAAGAAATTTATGGCAGACTTCGATATCCTGAGCAGTTTTTATATTAGTGGTTAAACCAAAATGAATATTATTTTATGCAATTAAAAGTGTTACTGATTATATTGCATTGGACTTCTTTTGTTTAGTGAGAGATGTGTACTCAAGTTTCTAAAGTATTTTAATAGCACAGACCTAGAAGTCCCAAGTACCATCTGGTTTTGTGGATGGGAATTTCCTTAAAACAGTAGTCTTTAAGTTCAATTTGGAATATATATATGTACGTTTATCATTTGGATGTATCAAAGTGTAATGGTGACCTTTTCTCTTGGCTCTAGGGTGACGTTTATAAAACAAGGGGTGGTGGACAATCTGTTCAGTTTACTGATATTGAGACTTTGAAACAAGAATCACCAACTGGGTGAGTATCTCTTTAAGAGAGCTGTCATTTTCTCACCTGCTCATTCCTGAGGAACAGAATAGCCTGGAAAATATATCATTCATTAATTCTCTGAAGAAGTATAGTAATATTTCCCTATTTCTAATATTTTTCCTGTTGTTAGATGCAAAAATAATTGTTGCATCATGTTTCCCCTTTTTCCGTAGTCGAAAACGAAGATCTTCTACAGTAGCACCTACCCAACCAGATGGTGCAGAGTCTGAATGGACCGATGTAGAAACAAGGGTAGGGGTGAAAATTAAATATTTGTCTGCTTAATAAAAATTAGAGATGTCATATTTTAAGCCACACAGTTATAGCTTTTCATGCTCTTTGAAGTAGCTGAGGTCTGATCTCACATTGCCAGTGCAGCCTGTAGCCCTGTCCTAGTAAACCTTTGAAGGTGTTTGTATTTCTTTAGGTCTGGTGGATGATCTGTAAAGTATCAGACCAGTATGTTAACATGGTTGCTTGTGCTGAACTTTTAGAAAGCAATACCGGATTTTGCTTTGGATGAATCTGGCAGAATTATATTTTTCTTTCCTTTTTTTTTTTTTTCCTTTTCCTTTTAGAACATTTAGGGTTTTTTTTTTTGTTTTTTAAGATTTTTTTTTATTGGGGAAGGGGAACAGACAAGTTTCTGTCCTTTTGTTCTTCAGTCTAGTTGTGGAGGACGTCGCTACACTGGCCCATGTTGGTATTATCTTCCTGGGTGAGGCAGTCACTCGCCGGCCATTGGATGGCTGCTCACGGTGGCTCACAGCAGCTCACGCCGGCTGCCAGCTGCACACAGTAGCTCACAGCAGCCCACTGCCTCCCCACTGCAACCGTTGCCGGTGACTCACGGCAGCCCAGCTCCAGGTTGAGCTGTTGTTCACCATTTTAGCTGTAGAGGGCACAGCGTCACTGGCCCTCATGTGGGATCTGAACCGGGGCCCTGCTGTTCAGAGCTGGTGTCCCAAGCAAACTCTTAACCAACGCGCCACTTGGCTGGCCCCAGAATTGTATTTTATAGACTGCTGAGAGGAACTGATCTTTTCTTTAATTTTCCTATCAGTGTTCTGTGGCTGTAGAGATGAGAGCAGGATCTCAACTGGGACCTGGATATCAGCATCACGCACAACCCAAGTGAGTACTGGCTAATTGGGGACTTTGTGTATATGTTTTCCCTCCTCTAGTATTTCCACTACCATCCCTTTTCCCTACCATCCACTTCCTTTTAACCCTCCGTCGGGCGCAACTGATCTCACAGATTCATTCACACAAATTTTCAAATATCTAACAGTTAAGTATCGTGACTCATCGCTTCCGTATCTTCCCCCTCTACCATAACCTATCATCAGTCATGTTTGTGATTTAGTACAATAAAGACGTATTTCATAGTGGCATCTTTGTGTGCAATGAATCTGTGAGATCAGTTGTGCCTGATGGAGGGCTAAGAGAACATTAGGTGTTTTTTGTTTACCCCTTGGAACATCTCGGCCCTACTGGCAGACTGGAGTAGGCAGCAGCAATGCTGAGAACCTTGGAAAGTTTGATAGGAGTAATTAGAGCTGTAAGAACAGGAGGTGATGAAAGACTGGCTAACTCTTGTTCATGTTTTGCCAATGTTCAAAGCTTTCAGAGGCTAAACTGAGAAGACCTGTAAGGAGGGGAGGCTAATGGCTTTAGTCAGGGGATGGCAGCCCTTCCTGTATTTCATCCTTTCCTAACTTGCCACTTGGTCTTGTTAGCAATTAAGTATTCAGTGAAGTAAACGAATGGTGGGATTTATGGTTGGGAAAGGAATCAGACTTTCCTTCTATTAAACACATACCCAAGAGTCTGCCCCATTCTTTTTCCATATTAGTAAAACTTTTCAAATATCTACTTATACAAGTCCATGTGTCCATTTTTAACACATGTTTTCCTTAGGCAATTTGGAAAATCATTGCAATAGGATGAAGATGGGAAGTCCTTTTTAAAATTTAATATTAGAAGCATATTTTATAAGTTATTTGCTTTCTCAGAAAGACTTGAACTTTTCCCATAATAAAACCAGGAATTCTCTTAAAGCCTTCCTAGAAATTAAATTGCTCTGAATGTGTTACTGATTGCAAAATCCAACACTAAATGCTGGTTTTCACATTTCAGGCGCAAGAAGCCATGAACTGACAGTCTCATTAATGAAAGAACATTTTCATTTTGTTGGTGATTTCCCCTAAAACCATGCCAGAAGGAGTCTTCTGAGTCATCTTGTAGAAGTCCAACCATGTTGACTATCACAGACCTCAGATACATCATACACTAGCCTAGATCAAAGATTTCCCTGTGGTTCCAAAGACAGCTAGTATTCAACAAACTTTTTACATTGTATGCCTTGCCATATTTAATATTAATAGCAGAGAAAGACCCACCCCCCCTTTTCTCATTGCCATATGAACTTTTTAATAATGCTATTTTTTGTATATTTCTTGTATACTGATAAACTAATTCATGCAAGTGTTTGTCTTGGGTGATTAAGGAAGAATATATCTAGATCACGCTTTATTTTTTATTGTGACATTTCCAGCTTTTGTCTGAATGTTTCTTAAGGTTTTATAAACAAAACATGCTGCTATTGATTAGCTGCAAGAATGCACTTTAGACATATTTGACGATGCAAACTTTCAAAATAAAGATGTCAGTGGCCAATACTAAAACCATTTTAGGAAGTTGTTTTGAACTTTGTATGTATCTATTCATTTTCTGACACTTAGATATGCCAAAAGAATTGAAATAAAAAGCACTAAGAAATACCAAGTTGTGTGATAGTCAAAACATATTCCCAGTACCTAGCACTGTGTCTTGCATTTAGCTGGCACTCCTTTGTGGAATGAAATAAAAGAAAGCACTAGAGGTTTCTTTCACATTGGGGCTACTTGTTTTAGCACACAGGAATGGTTTTGAAAAGGTATTTTCCTTGCTGAGAACCAGGAATCTTACCCCAACCCACATGTATAACCTGCTGGAGTACGATGGCCGGCGGATAATCCTTAATACAGTGTTTGACCTGGAATCATCCCTTTTTTTAAAATTTAAAGATGACTTAGCAGTCTTCTTAAATTTCCAGGTATGAAAACATTTAATTTTTGATATTATACCTAACTTAAATCCATATATAAAAAGTGAGGTCAGGCTGACCAAGTGGCGCTTTGTTTAAGAGTTGGCTTGGGACGCCAGCTGTGAGCAGCAGGGCCAGGGTTGGGATCCCACATGAGGGCCAGTGACGCTGTGCCCTCCACAGCTAAGATGGTGAACAACAGCTCAACCTGGAGCTGGGCTGTGGTGATGGCCAGCAACTGCATAGGCTGTAGCCCCTGCTGCAGTGGGCTACCGTGAGTGGCCGGCAGCTGGTGAGAGCTGCCAAGAGCCGCTGTGAGTGGCCGTTCAGAGGCCGGTGACCGATCTGCCTCACCTGGGAAGAGCGCAATGATGGTGCCAACTCGGGCCAGTGAAGCAACGTCCTCCACAACTAGACAAGAACAAAAGGACAGCAACTTGTCTGTTCCCCTCCCCCAATTCCCCAATAAAATCTTTAAAAAAAAAAAAGTAATCATCCTAAAAAAAAAAAAAATGAGGTCAACATCATGGTAGCATGAGTCCTTTTTTCTTTTTTCTCTCCCCTTTTACTTATAACTGATCGGTCATTACTAACTGAATGAGTATCTATGCACATTACACCAGAACATCTAAGAGATTTCTACCCACACGTGCTTCAGAAAGTAGATAGGACCTCAGAGGGGGCTTTTGGATCCAAGGGAGTCAGCCTGCCCCACTCCCACTTGCAGTGATGGTGGATAAATGAAATGAGTGCAAAACGGTGGGGACACAATGGAGATAGAGAATCTGGAGGTCCAGCCAACCAAATGGGAGAACCAGGCATGCCATCAGATGGGATAGAGACCAGTTTGGAGGCAGAGAAGAGAGTAGTAACTCGAGAAGCCATTTCCATTCAAATCACCAGATGCCTCAGTTAAAAAAACTTAAGTTGAAGTAGAAAAGTTCCCCTACATTCGTAGAATATCTTTTATACTTTGGGTGGGGGAAGAGAAAACAACATGTACTCATAATCCCCATCCCTCTCCGCACACACAAGCAGGAGGCATTTAGGAGTCTAGATTCCAAATCCAGGCTCCACCGCGTGCTTTGTCATCCTGAGCTAGTTACCCGGTCTACACTTTAGTTTTGCCATCAATGAAACGGAGATAATAGTACTTACTTCTTATGCTGTGTGAGAATTAAATGAATCCGTGTGGCTCAGTGCCTTGGTCCTAGTAGGCGCTCAAATGCTGCTACTGTCGTAACACAAGTTCCTCGTTTATTCCTATATTCACTTATTTTACCTGAGACGGTGTACTAAGCAAGGGGACCTCCAGGCTGTAGAGAAGCTCCTGCCTCCAGGTGGTCATCGCTGCTTGGGGGAAAGGAGAAGCTGGGACGTCATTAAATGATTGTCTAAGTAGTGTCACGCAAGCTACATACAGTACGTAGGATGACGTCCACTTACCTAGCTAACTTTCCTACAAAAAATTTTTTACTGTAATCAGCCCTGAGCTTCATCCAAACCAAGACAGCTATTATAATTAGCACTTACGGGTGCCTAGCAACTTCGAATTAGCAAACGAGCGAGTCAAGCCTTGTGCGCAGGCGCCTCCAGTGGGTCGTCGCGGGCGGCTCCCGCTCCGCCTTTTCCGCCAGACGTGGCTCACGGATTGGTCCGTGTAGCTGGTATAAGATGCTGCGCGCAAGGGAACCCCCCCTTTCTTCAGCTGCCGCTAAGGTGCTCGGTCCTTCCGAGGAAGCTAAGGCCGCGTTGGGGTGAGGCCCTCACTTCATCCGGCGACTAGCACCGCGCCCGGCAGCACTCGTCTGCACCATGGCCTCCGTCTCGGAGCTCGCCTGCATCTACTCGGCCCTCATCCTGCATGACGATGAGGTGACAGTCACGGTGAGTGCGAGCCCCGGCCGCTGGCGGGGCGGCCTGTGGGCGGCAGATTCCCCACCCTCCCGGTTAGGCCCTTCCGGCCGCAGCCTGGGCCACCGACGCCCCCGCGGGAGCTTCGGGCCGGGCGACCAAAAAGGTGGACCCACGTGCAGGTTGGCCAGGGGCCTAGGCCACGTGCTGGCCCAGGCTGGGGACTGGATTTCATTTGCGGCTGCGCGCCCTGGCTTGGAGAAATTTATTTAGAGAAACTTGTGCAGCGCGTGAGCGCCCTAATCCACACTTAGTTGTATTCCAGGACACTTTGTCTTTCTGGTGTGATTTTCTTGAATTCCTTTGGTGGTCTCAGTAGGCCCTGTGGGGCCAGGCTGCATGGTGTGGAGGAGAGCACATGAACCCTGCTCTACCTCCCGGACTTCTAACTTAAAATAGTCGCATGACTTTCCAAGTGCCAAGCCTATGAAATGGCAGCGATGAACTCACCACCTTGTGAGGTGCCAGGCACACAGGAGCAGATGCATTTATTTTGCTTGTGACAGCCGAAAAGAGTATAAGAAATGGTCGTCTTAATAAACAAAATACAGGTATAATATTTGAACTGGATAAACATGGTTTTGTATACGTTTTGAGTGATTTTCAATTTGCAGTGTTTTGGAGACATTTAAGAAAAGTACACTTTGATCTCTGATGAATTGGCATTTTATTTTTTCTAGGAGGATAAGATTAATGCCCTCATTAAAGCAGCCGGTGTAAATGTTGAACCTTTCTGGCCAGGCTTGTTTGCAAAGGTAAGGTGATGGTGGCAAAGTGATTTGGGGAAGTAAATGTGGGCAGACCAAATTTACTAAGTCCAGGTGTTCATGCCAACATCCAAAAGTGCTAGAAGGCCCTATATTCCACTAGACCAACTCTTAAGTGATATTTCCTCACATTTCTATTTCTAGTAGCTAATTAAGGTTTCACTTGGTCTTAATTGTTGTGTCTTTCTTTTATTGACCTCAGACTCTGGGTTTGTCTAATGTTCTGAAACCATGAAATGAATTAAGCAGGTCATTTCTTCTTTAAAAGGGTCGCGGTCGCCCAGGAGATAACTCCCATGCTATTCCAAGCAAATCCTCCTGGTATGATAGTATGCTTTAACAGAAATTGGGTGTAGTGGCCTTTTATTGACCCAATTTACTGTGTGTTGGTACATAAAAGACAGGATTCCAACCAAAAAAACTTGACACCGGCTACCTCCCATTGTACAAGTTAATCTCTGGTAAGTGAAGCTCATGGCCTCTTAACTTGACCTTGTGTCTTGCAAAGAGCTTTGAAAGATCGAAAACATTGTACCTATATAATATAGTAAATTCCCTTGGGAAAAGTCCTAGAATTAGTGGTCTGAAAAATTGAGTTCATTGTTAAAAGGAGGTGGAACTGTGGGAAGAATCCTGGTCTAAGTGCTTAAGGAAACTTGTGTTTTTTAATAAGTTAAGCTAAGCTAGCATTTTACGCCTGTTTTGTCGTATATAAAAGGAATTCAGTTAGTTGTATCTTAACTAAAATACAGCAATGCGAGTATGAGATTTAAAGCTTGAGGAGGTTGTGGTTTTTTTTTGTGTGATTGCTTGTTTTTAATATAGCTATGTGGGTTGCCCTAATTTAAGTTTTAGGGAATCTGAATAGCAGACAAACTCACTGGCAGCAAAGGAGAAGGCATACAAATATATATAATGATGGGAATTGCTCACTGTAATTTCAAAAAGGGAAGTAGCTTTTTTGGGGGGAGATTGCTATAAGAGTACAGAATTGAGCATTTGCTTGTGTATGCACTTGTGTTGTAGGCTCTGGCCAATGTCAACATCGGGAGCCTCATCTGCAATGTAGGGGCTGGTGGACCTGCCCCAGCAGCTGGAGCTGCACCAGCAGGAGGTCCTGCCCCCTCCACCACTGCTGCCCCAGGTAGGAAACTTGGTATTGGAGGGAGGAGTGGAGGTTAAAATTTATTATAGGTAGAATTGCCCTTAATGTGCTAAGAGTAGATTATATATGGAAACCCTAAAACAGAGGCTTAGTTTGATAAGGGGGCGTGGTAGGGTATTTTGACCATGTAAGTTGAAGGGCCTGGAGCTCTTTGGAGTTTAAAATATTGAGATGTGTAATTGATTTTTTTTTTTTTAAGCTGAGGAGAAGAAAGTGGAAGCAAAGAAAGAAGAATCTGAGGAGTCTGATGATGACATGGGCTTTGGTCTTTTTGACTAAACCTCTTGTAACATGTTTAATAAAAAGCTGAACTCTGCTGCTGTTGGTATTGCTGATTATCTGGAGATGTGCTATGTAAAGATGATCTCACTTCTGTAATGCTGGCTTTCAATCTTTTCTACTATGACACAAGCTGGTTTCCCCCCCCCCCCCCCCCCCCCGGACACCATCTTGTTGGTGGGGAATAATACACAAGCTGGACACCATATTGAGAATGCACCTAATTTTGCAGCATTGAGAAATGTGTGCGGCGTGGAGAGGGGATCAGAGCAGATGCCTTGTCCAGATTACCTATGTAATTTAATGGTTACAGGATTTGTCCCCTAGACATAAGAGTATTGGGGGAGATGGTGACCTGGACCTCACATTTCCCAAACAAAATGGTGAGTAAAAATTTGAGCTGTGGTGAACCATCTGAGGTAGAATATTAATTGCTGCTGCATCCCTGGATTTCATCAATAATACTGAAGGAGTAGGGAAAATTCAGTTTAAGTCCCCAGTTCCACAAAGTGGATAAAAGCAGAATTCAAACCTGTTTGAAAAACAGCCTTGAACTAGCTTTTGAGGGAGTGCAACTGAGCAATGGTGTGATGTGGAAATTGGTTCACTTTTAAAATGCCAAGACACTGTAGGACTTGGATTTATAAAACATGATTATTGTGTATTTGGAGTACCTAGGATGTTCCTGGATGCTTGGAACATCTTGCCCTTTCTTCATTTAATGAGGCATGAGCTTCCAGAGTGGAAAAGTAGGACTTTCCAGCCCTACTCATTCCAGTGTGCAGGACCATTTGTGTAAGTTACTGCAACCATTTGGGCAAAT